ATGGCACCCAGTAAATGTAACACACGTCTGTGATTCTGAGTGTGATGACGACAAATTGAAAGCTAAGTAGCGTTTCCTCACCTGTCAGACAATCGGTCTTGCTCTCCCTTCACCTGAGCCTACGACCTGGGGAGGCTTACCCAGGGGTCCCCCGGGTAAATGCGTAACAGCGGGCTCTTCAGGGAAACAATCTGACTTGTAGTGTGGGCCCGTTTCTGCGGTGTCACTGTTGCCACCTCACATTCATTCTGTTCCACATGAAGACTTGCATTTTTAAAAAAATATATTTTATTGATTTTTTACAGAGAGGATGGGAGAGGGATAGAGAGCCAGAAACATCGATGAGAGAGAGACATCGATCAGCTTCCTCCTGCACACCCCCTACTGGGGATGTGCCCGCAACCAAGGTACATGCCCTTGACCGGAATCGAACCTGGGGCCCTTCAGTTTGCAGGCCGACGCTCCATCCACTGAGCCAAACCGGTCAGGGCAAGACTTGCATTTTTAAATCGGAGCTCTGGAATGCCATCCTATATAATAAAAGCCTAAATATGCTAAGTGTCCAACTGTTCCTTCGACCAGTTGCTATGACGTGCACTGACCACCAGGGGGCAGATGCTCCAACCGGTAGGTTAGCTTGCTGCTGGGGTCTGGCTGATCGGGACTGAGCTAGGGGCTGGGCATGCCCTGGAGCCAACATCCCACGGTCCCTCCCTGGCCTCTAAAATATTTCTTCTAGCCCTAGCCGGTTTGGCTCAGTGGATAGAGCATCGGGCTGCGGACTGAAGGGTCCCAGGTTTGATTCTGGCCAAGGGCACATGCCCGGGTTGTGGGTTTGATCCCCAGTTGGGGTTGTGCAGGAGGCAGCCGATCAATGATTCTGTCTCATCATTAATATTTCTATTTCTCTCTCCCTTTCTTTCTGAAATCAATAAAAAATATATTAAAATATTTCTTCTAATTTCAATGTGCACCAATCCATGCACCGGGCCTCTAGTTAATTTATATATACAGTGTAAGAAAACAACTGACCCATGCAAACTCAATCTTACGGCCAAAAACGGAGAAAAGGCTGAATTACATTATACTCAATAGCAGTAAAATGTGGAGTGTTTAGTGTTTTCCCCAGGAAGGAGGCTGAAACTGGCCCTGCGACATGCAAGCTGTGTGGCCTTGGACGCGTGTCTGCACCTCTCTGAGCTCAGTTCCTCTTTTGGAAATCAGAGCTGGCAGTGAGTCCTGAGAAATACCACTGGGGGCGTGGTCTGGGGACCAACCCTTTCCCACCCTAATTAGTGACCAGGGATCATTCAGGACAGTGGGAAACTCTATCTTGCCTTGTCAGTGGAGACACAGAAATGTAGCCAGCATTTAAAAATAGAAACAGCCCTAACCGGTTTGGCTCAGTGGATAGAGCGTCGGCCTGCGGACTGAAGGGTCCCGGGTTCGATTCCCGTCAAGGGCATGTACCTGGGTTGCGGGCACATCCCCAGTAGGGGGCGTGCAGGAGGCAGCTGATCGGTGTTTCTCTCTCATCGATGTTTCTAACTCTCTATCCCTCTCCCTCTCTGTAAAAAAATCAATCAATAATATATATATATTTTTAAAAAATATATTTTATTGAATTTTTACAGAGAGGAAGGGAGAGGGATAGAGAGCTAGAAACATCGATGAGAGAGAAACATCGATCAGCTGCCTCCTGCACATCTCCCACTGGGGATGTGCCTGCAACCAAGGTACATGCCCTTGACCGGAATCGAACCTGGGACCTTTCAGTCCGCGGGTCGACGCTCTATCCACTGAGCCAAACCGGTTTCAGCAATAAAATATATTTAAAAAAAATAATAAAAATAGAAACGGAGTGGAATAAAGAAGTATGATGCAGCATGGTTTCACGAAACCATGTTGTCGATGTGAAATGACTTCTGGATGTGCCTCAGAAAAGTTTGGAAGCCACTGGTCGAGGGCTCCCAGCTTCGTACACTGATTCCCAGATAACTGACCCTTAATGTCCTCGTGGGACAGTAACTCCCCTTGTCCTAAAGCAAACATTTCGGGTGCCTGCAGCGCTGCCCTACAGCAATCCGCCGCCAGGTGGCGCCCGTGTCCCGCCGCGAGCGGGTTCTGCTCTGTCTCACTGTCTCTAAAGATAAGCCTTTTTCCTGAAAACTCCTTATGAATGGAATCATACAATCCTAGTTTGTGTAAAACACTTTTGTATGCGTCATGTGGGTCGTACAACCCAGCGATTCCACTTCGATTCCAACCGGAGACCCACTCAATGCCAAGGCAGTTTTAGCAGCAGTGTTTGCAGTATCTACAGTGAGATACCAGGGCCTCTTACGTGAATTTTTTAAAAAAAAAATATTTTATTGGTTTTCACAGAAAGGAAGGGTGAGGGACAGAGAGTCAGAAACATCGATGAGAGAGAAACATCGATCAGCTGCCTCCTGCACAACCCCCTCCTGGGAATGTGCCCGCAACCAAGGCACATGCCCTTGACCGGAATCGAACCTGGGACCCTTCAGTCCGCAGGCGACGCTCTATCCACTGAGCCAAACCAGTCAGGGCTCTTACGTGAATTTAACTAAAAAATAACCCACAGGGCAGCGAAGAAGAACAAGTAACCCCTGCAGCCCACCTGGGTTCATCTTTCTTTCTCCGAATGAAGCAAGATACAGAACTATCAGCCCAAACAGAAAATATGATATCCGGGGATTTAAGCACAGGTGGTGAATACGAAGATGAGCAAGAGGATGAAGAATCTAAAATGTAAGACAGTGGCTTCCTCTTGGGGGTCAGGGGGCATCACCTGTAAGGACCAGGAAGGACCGCCTGGCATTTCAGGATAAATGTGTGTAGACACGGACGGTGGGGTGTGGCCATCACCTTACTTTTAACTCTGTGTGGACATTTTCATATGCTTTTGGTTGTCGCATTTCCCAGTCTTTACATTATTATTATTATTATTACTATTATTTTAATATATTTTATTGATTTTTTACAGAAAGGAAGGGAGAGGGATAGACAGAAAACATCGATGAGAGAGAAACATCAGCTGCCTCCTGCACACTCCCCACTGGGGATGTGCCCACAACCAAGGTACATGCCTTTGACTGGAATCGAACCTGGGACCCTTCAGTCCGCAGGCCGATGCTCTATCCACTGAGCCAAACCGGTCAGGGCATATTATTATTATTTAAATAAGTGAACTATATAGTGTTTTTCAATGTTTACTGACTTTAGAGAGAGAAAGGAAGAGAGGGGGAGAGTGAAACATCAATTTGTTGTTCTGCTGATTCACACATTCATTGATTGATTCTTGTATGTGCCCTGAGGATCGAACCTAAACCTTGGTGTATTGGGACGATGCTTTAACCAACTGAGCTACCCGGCCAGGGTTCGTTTTCCCAATCTTTAAAAAATTGAAAGAACAGCAAAGGAAACCATCAACAAAATGAAAAGACTGAAAAACAACAACAACAAAAAAAAACCCCCAACAACACTCAATGGAAAAAAACAACCCACTGAATGGGAGAACATATTCACCAGTGATACATCTGATAAGGGGTTACTATCCAAAATTTATAAAGAACTTATATATAACAACACCAAAAACAAAACAAAACACACACATATAAAAACACACACAAAATAATTCAATTAAAAAATGGGCAAAGAATGTGAACAGGCACTTCTCCAAAGAGGACACACAGATGGCCACTAGACATGAGAAAAGATGTTCAGTGTCACCAATCATCAGATAAATGGAAATTAAAACCACAATGAGATATCAGAATGGCTGTCATCAAGAAATCAACAAACAAGTGCTGGCGAGGATGTGGAGAAAAGGGAGCCCTCGTGCACTGCTGGTGGGAATGCAGACTGGTGCAGCCACTGCGGAAAACGGTGTGGAGTTTCCTCAAAAAATTAAAAATGGAACTGCATTGTGACTCCGTGAATCCACTTGTGGGAATATACCCAAAGAAACCTGGAACCCTAATTCAAAAGAATGTGTGCACCCCTGTGTCCATTGCAGCATTATCTGCAAGCGCCAAGATCTGCAAACAGCCCGAGTGCCCATCAGTAGGTGAGTGGATAGAAAAGCTGTGGTACATGTACACAGTGGAATACTATGCAGCAGTAAAAAAGAGAAGGAAATCTTTCTTTTTAAAAAAATATATTTTTATTGATTTAAGAGAGGAAGAGGGAGAGATGGAAACATCCATGATGAGTGAGAATCATGGATCAGCTGCCTCCTGCAAGTCCCCCACTGGGGCTCGAGCCCAAAACCCGGGGATGTGCCCTTGACTGGAATCATCGAACCTGGGACCTTTCAGTTTGCAGGCCGAGGCTCTATCCACTGAGTTGAACCGGCTAGGGCAGAAATCTTACTTTTTATGGCAGCTTGTATGAACGTGGAGATTATTATGTTAAGCGAAATAAGACAGTCAGAGAAAGACACATGCTGTATGATCTCATATGTGGAAGCTAATGAACAAAATAAACTAGCAAACAAAATAGGGCCAGAGGAAAAAAAAAAAAATAGGGCCAGAGGCATGGATGCATGGAACAGAGGGACAGATCTCAAGAGGGGACGGAGGGTGGGGGCACCGGAAGAGATTAGCCAAAGAACATCTATGCATATGGGCATAGCCCGTGGATACAGACAACACTGAGGTGAAGGCTGCAGGAGGGGGAGAGGGACCGGGTCTGGGTAGAGGGGGGCAAAGAGGAGAAAAATGGGAGGCATCTGTAATAGTGTCAACAATCGGAAAAAAAAAAAAAAAGATGAAGGTTAAAAGCTTTCCACGGATCTTATCTTCACCAGCTTTCTTCCCGTGTGGAATTCCCCGTTTCTGTATGATGCAAGAGCTAACGGAACACGTTCCCCTGTCCGTTGACTTATTGAGCTCCCTTCTGACATGTCCTCTCCACTCATTCATGATTTTGAGAAAAGCGAAGCTTTCCCCACCTCCCTTTCCTTCGGGGGGCCTCTCTTAGTTGTGCTTCTTCAGATGGCTCTTAAGCGATGAATTACTCATGTAGCTTTTCCCACACTCCTCACACTTATAGGGCCTCTCTCCAGTGTGGGTCCTCATGTGCACGGTGAGCATCCAGGACTTGTGGAAGGCTCTCCCACACTCCTTACACTTATGGGCCTTCTCCGCAATGTGTCTGAATAAGTGTTTCTTGAAGTGTATCGAATATCGGAAGGCTTTCCCACACTCCGGACAGGCGTGGGGCTTCTCTCCGGTGTGAACGCTCCTGTGTTTCATAAAGTACGAACGGTAAGCGTAGGATTTCCCACAGTCTGGACACCTATAGTTTTTCTCTCCTTTCCGCGTGCTCCTGAGTGACTGAGCGTGCGGAACCTGGGCGAAGCTTTTCCCACCTGGGTCATTCTTGTTCTGCGTCTGCGCTGGATGAGTTGGCATCGGCACAGCAGGTATTGGGTTCCTCCCGGGAATGTTTTCACGCTCACTGGACCCATAAACTTTCTCTTGAACGTGAGTCTCGCGTGCCCTGAGGACACAGTCTTCCGGAAAGGCTTTCCCCAATTCAGAGACATGTACCCCCCGAAATGTTTTATCAGGCGCACGAAGCGCACGATTCCGATTCTCGACAGGCGTGACCGATGGCCGCTCTGTTGGAGTTCTCACTTGGTCACCTGGAGCTGACCGAACGCGCTGCGGCCATCCTCTGTCGTCCTCGCTGTTTTCGGAGGTTTTGTGGTTACTCCTTAAGACACAGTCTGGCTGCAACATACTTTGGAGGGGGTGTTTTCTGGTGGGATCTCCCTGCGGAGGCACAAGCTTCTCCCTCGTTTCACAGACTGGAACCAGACGGCCGTCTTTCTCTTGGGCAGCCGCCACGCGCCTCCCTTTCTGCCCCCTCCGCCGGTGTGGCTCCTCTGCTCTGTGGCCTTCCAAGCGTCCTCCTGGAGTGGGATTGTTGCTCGCGAAACACGCTCCGTTGGCTTCACGAACTGTGTTTTTCGCGAGAATGTCCTGCCGAGAGGCCGAGACTTTGGTTTTCTGTCGAATCGCCTCACCTGAAATACAGCGCCCAAAGGTTAAGTTCTTTGTTGAGAGTGAAGATGGGCTGGAGAGGATAAAACGGGTAAATGGCCGGGTGGGCTTCTTTTCTTTTTAAATGTGCTTTGAAGTTATTTTTATTGACTTTAGAGAGAGGAAGAGAGAGGGATAGAGAGATAGAAACATCGATCGGCTGCCTCCTGCACGCCCACGACTGGGGATTCAGCGCAAAACCCAGACATGTGGGCCCTAACCGGTTTGGCTCAGTGGATAGAGCGTCGGCCTGCGGACTGAAGGGTCCCAGGTTCGATTCCGGTCAAGGGCATGTACCTGGGTTGCGGGCACATCCCCAGTAGGAGATGTTCAGGAGGCAGCTGATTGATGTTTCTCTCTCATCAATGTTTCTAACTCTCTATCCCTCTCCCTTCCTCTCTGTAAAAAATCAATAAAATATATTAAAAAAAAACAAAAGACATGTGCCCTGACTGGGAATTGAACCACGACCTCCTAGCTCATGGGCTGTCAACTCTCAACCACTGAGCCACATCGGCCAGGCCAATATGCTTTTTAAAAAAAAATTGATTTCAGCCCCGGCTGGTGTTGCTCAGTGGTTAGAGCATTGCCTGCGAACAGAGGGGTCTCGGGTTCGATTCCCGGTCAGTGGGCCCCTAGGTTTGCTTTCGGCTGCCTCAGTTTCCCCACTCAGGCGATCTCTGAGTGCATTCCTTTTCCGCAAATCAATTCTCACCGGCTTTTGCTGCCATTTTATCTCCTGTTTGAATTCATTCCCACGAGAAGACAAGGACTGCGGACGCAGAGCAGGGTCTCCGGCCGCAGGCCACCACCCTGATCACCGCTGACAAGATGTCCGGGTCCACGTGGGAAACCCTAGTCTACCAGCAGCAGCCGTGTCTCTGGACACGTAACAAGCCGGGTCCCGTGTCAGCTGCCTCCTGAGCACAGGAGGGCCTGGCTCCCCTCCGGGCGCAGGACGGGGCCCCTTACCGACGAAGGCCAGGTTCCGGGCGGTCTCCAGCATCACATCTCGGTAGAGGGCCCTCTGCTCCGGGGCCAGCAGGGCCCACTCCTCCTTGGTGAAGTTCAAAGCCACATCCTTGAAGGTCACCTCGTCCTACAAGTAAACACCCACTTTGGCTCACTGGGGTGCTCTTACAAGGTGACCTGTGTCCCCGCCCAAAGATACGTTGCAATCCTAACCCCCAGGCCCTTGAATGGGAACTGATTTGCAAAGAGGCCCTTTGCAGATGCAAAGGAAATAAGATAAATTTGAGAAGTCCCCCAGAAGGCTGAGTTTGGGCTTTGACATTCACAGGGTGAATATTTGCATTTTATTACCTACTCCTGACTCAATGGCCTAAAGCAGTGGCCGGCAAACTGCGGCCCCTTGAGTGTGGCTCTTCCACAAAATACCACGCCTGTGCGACATACAGTGCGATTGAAACTTCGTGGCCACACTCAAGGGGCCAAAGAGCCGCCTGTGGCTCGCGAGCCGCGGTTTGCCGACCACTGGCCTAAAGCAAACTCCCCCCAAACCTGACAATCTTACTGTTTACTAAACGTTACCGTTGATATGTCTGTTTGCATTCCTAAAAGGCAATTGTGTGTTCTAGTAAATACAAGCAGCTGGGAACGGAGACTCAGAGGAACTTGACCACTACAGTTAAGCTTTCCCTGGCTTCCCCCTATTAATCCCAAATGAATATTTCTTGTCTGGTGTGTCAATTTGCGCGTCAGCTCTTTCTCCAAGCCTTTGAACCCGAAAGCCACGCTGGCCGGGGCCTTTCAGAACACAGGAATAGGGTGGGCTCTTGGGAAGAGGAAATCTGGACAGACCCACAGAGGGAAGACGTCACATGACAACGGAAGCGGAGGCTGGAGTGATGCGTCTACCAGCCAAGGAACGCAAGGACAGGCTGTTGTACACAGGGTGTCCCCAAACATGGACGCACACCTTAGCGGCCGGTAGCTCAATGGAAGTTTCTTTCCTTTGTGGACGAAAGGGGCCACGTGCTGACCTGACAAGCTCAGGAGAGGCCTGCATGGCGGTCTTGCAGACTCAGAGACCTAAAGTCACCACAAAGGATGGTCTGAAATTAAACTTTAACTAAAGCAGTTGTGGAGGGCAGTTACGTCCTAGGCCGGTATCTTCACTGACAAGGTCCACCTTTACCTTCACTGAGCCTATCTGTCTTTTTGCATCTATGACAACATACCCTTGAGATGTCTGGGTAACTTGTCACTTCCCTTTTTCTGGAGCCCCTGGGGCACAACCAAATGTGCTGGGCCCCAGGACAGACACCACAAATTCCTTCACTATCATGTTAATTGAATTTCGTGTAACTCACCTATGTCCCTCCTTTGATTGGAATGTATAAATACAGATGTAACCCCACCATTCTCCGGAGCACTATCTCAATTCATTGAGGTTCTGCTTCCCGGCATATGTCCACAGTTTGGCTCAAATAAACTCACAAAAATTCTTTACAGGTTTCAATGGTTTTTACATTAACATCTTTCAGCCAGACTAAGCTTTGAGCCCAGGAAATGCATCCTAAAATGCTACTGGAAGTCTGAAAACGCAGTTGCAGTACAAATGCTGCCTCTGTAATTATTCAGAGTGTGTGTACACACTTTAGCAGCTGATAACTCAATTTTCACGCCTTTTCAGGTTTAACTGATTTGAAATAATGGGTGAAGCCAGACTAAGCTTTAAACAAGGAGCATTTATCCGCTAGACTTTTTTATGGGGTTACATCAAAGAAAAAGTTTACGGCACAAAATTGGCAGCGGTTGATGAATTGAGGGTGCACAGGTGCCAAACGAAATGATTCTTGATGTTAGTGATTCTATTGCTTCGCGTTATCAGCAGCGCCTGAATCAGAAGGTCACCAGTTTGAAAACAGGCATTGAACAAAAAAAATTGTTATTTTAAAAAATATATTTTTATTGCCCTAGCTCAGCGGTTCTCAACCTGTGGGTCGCGACCCCTTTGGGGGTCGAATGACCCTTTCACAGGGGTCGCCTAAGACCATCAGAAAACACATATATAATTACATATTGTTTTTGTGATTAATCACTATGCTTTCATTATGTTCAATTTGTAACAATGAAAATACATCCTGCATATCAGATATTTACATTATGATTCATAACAATAGCAACATTACAGTTATGAAGTAGCAACGAAAATAATTTTATGGTTGGGGGTCACCACAACATGAAGAACTGTATTAAAGGGTCGCGGCATTAGGAAGGTTGAGAACCACTGCCCTAGCTGGTTTGGCTCAATGGATAAAGTGTTGGCCTACAAACCAAAGGGTCCCAGGTTCGATTCTGGTCAAGGGCACATGCCTGGGTTGCAGGCTTGGTCCAACGTGCAGGAGGCAGCCGATCAATGATCCCCTCTCATCATTGATGTTTCTATCTCTCTCTCTCTTCCTCTCCCTTCCTCTCTGAATCAATAAAAATATATTTTTTAAAATATATTTTTTATTTCAGAGAGGAAGGGAGAGGGAGAGAGAGATAGAAACATCAATGATGAGAGAATAATTGATCGACTGCCTCCTGCATGCCCCCTACTGGGGATCGAGCCTGCAGTCTGGGCATGTGCCCTTGACCAGAATCGAACCTGGGCCCCTCAGACCTCAGGCCGGCGCTCTATCCATTAAGCCGTACCAGGTAGGGCTCCAGGTTATATTTCATATTTTAAGTGAAAATTTTAAAAAGGGTCAGAGGATCTGTATCGCAAAACACAGGCTTATCAAGTAGGCAATAGGCTGGAGGAGACAGGATAGAAGCAAGACATCCAGGCATAACCTTGTTATGTAGCTTTTAACTGGGAAGCAGGTAGTGTTTGCCTCTTCACAAACAAGGAAACAATCTGCCAAATGGAAAGGCTGAAATAAATACAGTAGGCAGCCCTGGCTGGTGTGGCTCAGTGGGTAGAGCGCCGGCCTGAGGACCGAAGGGTCCCAGGTTCGATTCCGGTCAAGGGCACACACCCAGGTTGCAGGCTTGGAGACTCTCTCTCCCTCTCCCTTCCTCTCTGAAACCAATAAAAATATGTATTTAAAAAAATTATGCAGAGGGGCAAAAGTAGGTTTACAGTTGTGAATGTTCAAAGCACAGAATTTATCCTTGTGCTCTTATTTGTTAATTATTGCACTATTTTCCATATAAACAACTGTAAACCTTCTTTTGCCCCCCCTTCCTCCCTCCCATGTGCCAAGGTGGCAGGTTAACCACTGGGGGTAGAGTCACTTCCGGGGCCTCCTCTACCTCCACGTATGAGAGTCTATTGGGCAACAGGAAGGGGCCTCACCCCGCTCTCCAGGCGGCCTTACTGCTCCGCGTGCTATTCTCACTGCCTCCCCCACACGCCCCATCCTCACCGCAGGACCGGGCAACCGGGCTATGTTCGTGCCAGGAAGCAAGATTTTTAGTCTAGCCCTGGCGGGTTTGGCTCAGTGGATAGAGCACCGGCCTGCAGACTGAAAGGTCCCGGGTTCGATTCCAGTCAAGGGCACATGCCCGGGTTGTGGGCTCGATCCCCAGAAAGGGGCGTGCAGGAGGCAGCCGATCAATGATTCTCTCTCATCATTGATGTTTCTCTCTCTCCCTCTCCCTTCCTCTCTGAAATTAATAATAATAATAATAAATATATATAATGAAAGGGCGAGGGCTAGGCCCTCCACCTTCCCCCAGGGGTAAGGGCCATCTTGCCCCAGGGTAAGGGCTACGTCCTCCATCTTACCTTGGCCACGTGCTTGGCAAGGAGCTTCTTCCCGGAAGTCTAAGACTCTGCTAGCCACACCCAGGAACAAGACATCGACTTGCGCCTGGCCAATCGGCAGAGCACAGTCCTTTCTCCTCCCCTTACTCCAACCCCCCCCCCCCCCCATATAACCGGTCTCTAGGCGGGGTTCTCTCTCTCTCAGCCACTTGGCCTGCGGTTGTGTCGGTGAGTCTGGTGGATGGGGAGCTCAAGCTAGCTTGAAATACAGATTCTTATGCTTTTGCATCGGATTGGCTGGCTCCCTGATGTGGTTTCTTGGGGATCTTGAAATCTGGGCATAACATATATATATATATATAAAAGAAAACAGGCATTGACAAAAAATTATTTAAAAAAAAGATTTTCAGTCTAAGAAGAAGGATTCAAATGAAAAAATTTAAAAAGTAAGCATTCAAGATCTCGCTCCCCCAGCACATTCATTTGGCTGAAGTAAATGCTTATACAACCCCGCACCGCTCCTGAGAAGAGAAATGGTTGGAGAATGAATAAGCAGGAAGCAAAGAGAAAAGCAGGTCCAGGAACAGGAACTACAAACTGGGTGTCTGAGGTGTCTCGAAGTTCCAGAGGCAAAGAAACCGCCCTGGACTGTGTTTAGAGGATGGAGAGCCCGGCCGGCGTGGCTCAGTGGTCGAGCGTTGACCTGTGAACCAGGAGGTCAAGGTCTGATTCTCAGTCAGGGCACAGGCCTGGGTTGTGGGGGTCCATGCCCAGTAGGGGGTGTGCAGGAGGCAGCCGATCAATGATTCTCTCTCATCACTGAGCTTTCTATCTCTCTTTCCCTCTCCCTTCCCCTCTGAAATCAATACAAATATATTTTAAAAAGGAAATCAATAAAGTAATTGTGTTTTATAAAAAAATATCTATGGCCCTAACTGGTGTGGCTCAGTGGATAGAGCATCAGTCTGCAGACTGAAGGGTCCCAGGTTCGATTCCGGTCAAGGGCATGCACCTTGGTTGCAGACACAGCTGATCGATGTTTCTCTCTCATCGATGTTTCTAACTCTCTATCCCTCTCCCTTCCTCTCTGTAAAAAAAATCAATAAAATATATTTTAAAAAATATCTATGACAACAACCCCTTATATTCGCTGCAGAGAGCATACAGGGAGCTCATTTTCATGAAACGAGGGGCTTTGAAAAGATGGAAGGAACTAGAAGAATGGTTATTTCCGGGTGGCCAGGAGCTGTGAACAGGGTGTAAGTACCGTAAGGCAGGATGGAGGA